CCCTTATGCTACATGCCTACCCAAATCCTTAGCTACTCCACCACTTGTTCACAAGGCATCTACCAGCGCAAGTTACACACTGCCAGCATAGGGTTTAAGCATGAAAAATGGGGGGGAGTAGTACAAAAGAACATGTCAAAACCTTAAAGAAATACAGGACTGGGAAGGAAAAAAGTGACAGACTAAACTGACAGGGACCAGAGTGAACAGTGTACAAAATGAGAAAAGATACTGTACTGAATTGCAGTTTCTTCCATCACAACTTATGTCCAGTATGTCACATGCTACTGAAGCTAAACACAAAGATTCCTTTGCATTTCATTTGCAGACTACCTTTAACCAACTAAGAAATCTCAATGGGTTATTAGCAATAGCTTTACTAGTTTCATGCTAAAAAATATTTCTTAATATTAATTTCAGATTACCTGTTAAGCGGATATAATGCACAAATTATTTTCACATAGAAAGTACTTCCATTTCAGAATAAATTTCAGGTTTTCCTGTTATACTTGGTTGATACTGCCTTGAAAGCCACTGCATACCTAAGGCTCATCTTTTATTTTTTAAGAGCTCAACTGTCTATTTGAATGGGAAAGAAAATAAATGTAGCTGACAAAGCCCACCACATGGCATACACAAAACTCATAGATTTCAGCCTTAAAAACCTAAATTTTTGTTGAGTAAATTGCCAAGAAGTGTGTTCAGTGTATGAGCATTTCAAAGCTACATAATTATTCCCTACTTCATACCTCAATTATAATCAAATTGCAAATTAATACAGCACTACTAATTCAATTGTGGCTCTATTTTGCACACAAGCTACCAGCTATAGAAAACTGGTTAGCTATTTCATACAGAAGAAACAGCAGTGAAGATAGGGTCAAGCTAACTTGAAAACTTCAAGACATTATTCAGTGGAACATCTCATGACCTGAACATAGCATACAGAATCCTGCCTGTAAATTTTATAAGGGTAATCCTAGTCACAATACTTTGATTCACTGTATCAAAGTGGAAGATATGATGCTATGAGTTATTACAAAGATGTTAACTATCAAAGAAAAATATAATGGGTTCAAAATTATCTTTATACAACATTCATGTGCATTCAGCACGTAGCAGCTCAGAATGTGCTTATCCCAACAGGAATCTAGGCAGTAGCCCAGACCACAGCATCATCAAACATTCAAAAACCTCCTAGGAAGATCAATACAAAACAGAAGGGGTATTTTCGTTCATTTGAGTCAAGTCAGTCCTCCATCTCAACATTTAAGGACACAACACTGCTATGAACAGAAAGAAGCTCAGCACACTCAAACTGGTTTGATTTGAAACCAGACACATAATTTCTCATTTTTAACCCTGTACTTTATTTTTTTGAAGGCAGAACTTCCCCTTTATCACTGCATGTCAAAAGAAAAGCCTTAGAAGAATGTACACTCATAGACCCCTCCAATAAAACAGCTCAAAATACATCTATCAAGGTTATTGAAACACTGCTTTGTATAATGCTTAGTGTGTAGGACCTTCAAAATACTATGCCTGACTAATCATACAAATCAGTTCAGACAGTGGAAAAATTCACACTGTATCACTCATAATGGAGAATACATGTGTATTTACACCAGACACCACCACTGAAGCTGATGCTTTTTCCCATATATAATGCTGTACTCTAACATTTGCCTCAGTTCTTGAGAAGCCACAGTCATACAGCAAGAATGTTTCTGACCACGAAATATCCTGGATAGGCAAAATTTTCCATTACTCCTAAGAAACTTTCTGGAGATCAACATGCAGCCACAACAGTGCCATCTGGAATAGTGTGATTTGAATAGATCTATCAGAGTCAACTGCTGTTGGATATAATGTCATCCATAACTGGATTCTACGTTATATAGGCTCAGCTTCAAAAGAAGATGATGTAAATTCTTACAATCTCTGGGAAGCACGTACCTTTTGCCACTCCCTGTTACATACTCTCAAGGATACCAATTCCAAAGTGGGACTGGAAGCAACTGCAATTGTATTCTCTATTGATGGTGTCCTGGTTCAGCCAGGATAAAGTTTTCCCCAGCAGAGAGAGAGGGGGAAGGGATCTCCAGCCAGGTTATTCATACCATGCTGACGTCAGGGCGGACCCTTTTCCTTGCTCCTTGGCGGGTTCAGGAGGGAATTCTGCTTTCCGTAGACCAGCTAGCGGTATTTCTCTGTATATCGTTTGTCTTGTTCACTGTTATTGCTGTTTATTGTTGTTACCATTGATACTGTTGTTGTTCAGATTGTTTTATCACTCTGTTGTATTAAATTTCTTGTTATTTTAGCCAGGGTCTGTGTCTAACTTCCAGCCCGACCGGCGCACAGATGGAAAGTTCAGTATAGAGGGGCCAGCAAGGGCTACAGAGATAGCACTACCTCAAGCAAACAAGATGCTTGGAGAGAGCAAGTTTGGAAACACTAGATAATAGATGCATGTTCTGGTTTACCTAAAAATACTATGCAGTTAGCAAAAATGCCTCCTCATAGCTTAAAATTATGCATTTACATGCATGCATACTTCCTGATTTGCAGCAATTTCCATTTATTTGTAAAAGCCCAAAGAGTTAAAAATTCATGTGCTTGTCTATATGTCAACAGTATTCACCATGAAGAGGCTGCTCACCTACAACTGCAGCTAGTACAGCATTTTTTTGAATCTTGCTTGGAATAGAAAATAATTCAAGATGTAGTGAAATTTATTACCCATCATGAGCCCAGACTCAACCAGGAATATCTCATATTCAGACTTAGAAAAAGATTCAGTAAAAACATTAATCTTAATATGTATTATTATGCACCTTTTAGAGGAACAAAAAAAGGAGGAAAGGGAAAATGCAACTTCAAAATTAAATAAATCTTTCCTTAAATGACAATAACAATTAAGCAGCTATCCAGTCTTCATATAGATTAGCTATACATTTTTGCGGCTTCCCTGCCAGCTCTGACATAAATCCATTACACAAGTTTCAGGTTACTGGCTTCAAGCCTACAAACTTCCAGTTACTTGTAAACAAACTGTAACACTTGAACACTATCAGAAAATTTTGCAGAAATAACAGTCAAGTGATCTAATACTAAATTAAATAGAAGTTCTAATAATCTGAATAAGTAACAGGTTTTTAAAAATCATTACCAACTTCCACAGAGAAGGCATGTTTCATGTTCAGTAACTGAAACCTTCACCTGGTACTTGCTATCCAAAATTCAGGTCTGTACGCCTGACAAAAATCAGGTAGTATCATGAAATATTTCAGCTTGGAAAGGGTCCATAAGGATCAAATCCAGCTCGCTGCTCCTCACAGAACTACCTAAACCAAACCATTTGACTAGGAGTGCTGCCCAGACGCTCCTTGAATTCTGACAGGCTTGGTACTGGACCAATTCCCTGAAGAACCTTTTCCTAATGTCCAACCTGAACTTCTGCTGATGCAGCTTCATTCCATTTCCTCATGTCCTATTGCTGGTCACCAGATAGAGGAGATTAGCACCTCCCCCTGATGTCCCCTCTTGAGGAAGTTGCACAACTGTGATCAAATTAGTCAACTAAGCATTTTATATTTTAATAGAAAAAATGAATATTGATTTTATGTCTTTTTAATGTGTTCTCTCTGCTTGTTTTTGTTTCCTATAAAATAATGTAAGCTTTCCTTCATTAATATATCTGAATGTATGTTTCCATGTAGGGAAGGCTAGAGACTGTCTTGTCTTTACTTTCTCTCTCAGGAAAAACAAAACAAAACAAAACCACAAGAGAATTTAAGATTGATATCTCGTTTTTCATCAGGTTTCCCGTATTTTGGAAGTGGGCAGAAAGGTACTACTGGAATACTAGATACCAAAAACCTTTGTCACTTACTGCTGACACTGGAGAGCAAAGATGTACCTAGTCACTATAAAAGAGTAACTACACAGAAACAGATGGCAAGTATGCTACAAAAAAATCTTTAACACCTCATTATGGAGAAAATTAAATTCTGTTGTACATTGTCACAGACAAACAGCAGCAATATGTCAATCATGTTAGCCCTCTCATGTTATATTTATCAAAGTGGAACAAGTTAAAATGACAACACATACAACTTCAAGCATTCAGAAACCCATGAAGAAACTATGTAATCTCAATTACCACAAAGATGAAGCTAGAAATGTTTATTGATATATACTCAAATTTGAATATAGAAGTCACGAAAATGACTTGAATACATTGTTTTGCTTAAGTCTGGGAAGAATTAGAGCTCCAGGAAAGGAGGGCTTCGATTTCTCTCAGTATTTGTCTATGCTGGAGACTTACAGATTCATTCCTAGAGACCAAAGTACGGCAAGACAATGGTCAGCACAAGGTAAGTACTCCTCAAGCTTCTGGGTTCCCATGGCTAATACCATTCAGGAATACCAGACAGACTGGAAAACAAGAAAACCCACAAAACATACCTATATTTCTCTGCAACACAGGCTACAACATTCACTTGAAAAATACAATTTCTAACAGCTTTCAAATTACTTTTTCATTTTTCTCATGTTATTATAATGAGATTGTTATTTACATAAGCTTCTCCAGCTCCTAGTCAGTCTCCCAATTCCCCTACAACTGCCCATAGCTACAGAACATCAGAATTTTGCATTTACTGTCCTTTCTTCTCCATTTGTGTGGAATGAACCATGTACTTCTCTCACTAAAATACTCCTGCTTGCTTCTGAGTTATAAACAGAATAGGTACTTCCCAGCTGTCTTCTTGCATCTGCATGCTGTGCAGTACTGCATGGTAGCATTAACTGCAATCCTAACAAATATTGGATTATTTTCACTTTACATCTGAAATTAAGAAACAATTGTGTCCCTTTACAGATCCAAGACCAGCTCTCAAAGTTTCCCGATAAAGCATTACTGTTTCACATGTTTTAAAACACTATTATGTATTGTTATTATTAAATGTTATTCTTAATAATTAACTGTGTTATGAAGTTTAATGCCCTCTTCACATCTCCAAAATGTATTCCAAACTGTCAGTAAGCTACTCGTCTAAATAACAATTTCTGAACTCTTCAACACATCCCTGCTATTTAGGAACACTATGCACACCTGTGCTCCCACCAGAAACTAAAAATGTATCTATCACAAACCAAGGAGAACATCTAGGAAGCAGCAAGTCCATTCCAGGCAGGGGACAGTTTTGCAGCTAACACAAAAATGTCTTTTAGCTTTTGAAAACAGGCAATATCATCTTCTACTCAGGCCCCTAGTATTAGTGCATTACAAAATTTTCAGTTGAAACAATAGATATATTACTTGGAACTAAACTGTTTTAAGCACACTGCAGTCACTTAGAACTGCTTTGAAATTAATCAGGCCTATTAAAAAAAAGAAAATAATCAGAGAATACTCAAGTTTTAAATATAGAAAAGCCTTCCACTTAAGTTGTTAGTATATGTGATGCAGTCACTAGTTAACATATGGATCTTCAGCTCAAATGAGTCATTAATTTCACAGCAGAAGTGCTGTTGATGCATCTTCCAGTCAAATACAATGTTAACTTGTTCCTTTGCCATTAGAGTAAGCAATTGAACATTTCACTCCCGACTGGTTCTTTGGCTTAAGAGCCATACTCTGAAACTGAAAACTGCTTGCTTCAAGAAAATACACTTCTCAACAGAACCAGAAAACATTTAATTTTATTAGTCTGAAGGTACCCCCAGCTAGGCCAAAAAGAAAAAAAGCTCTGCTGGAACGGGAGGGAGCTTGAAGCTGAAAGACAACATTCAAACTATTATATGTGTTTTACTGAGATACCCAAGTGAAATCTTCATCAAAGAGTACTCTACTCATTATTTCCCTAAATCCTTAAACACTACTTTTTTTCATTAGAAACTTCAGGTACTCGCAACATATGATCTGTAAGCTGCTGCAAATAATGCTGAAATAGATGCTAATGACCTACCTCATACAAGACAGATTGATCCCCAAAGTAATTCCAGTTTTCCAAATTCTAGCATAATTCAACAGACTGATGATTCTCTGTAAATTTCAGGGAAAGCAGATTACCTATGTAGCCACTAGAGTCTTCCCTACACTATAGTAATTGATTCCAGGTTTAGAGATTAAGGCAGCCCTGAAAAGTTTCCTAATAAAAATCAAAGCAAGTATCTCATTCTCTGTCTCCTAGAAGATCTCAAATACGCACAAGTGAGCAGTTGCAAGGTGACTCCACCTGCACTCTTCGACAGCAAGGCGTAAGGCAAAACAGATGTAAAGGCCAGACATATTAGTGGTAATCTTGTCTACCCTAGTATATGCTGCTCAGAGTGGTCCAAGAAGCTATCAGGTACAGATATCAGACAAAAGAGAGAAAAAAGGCAATAAATAGTACAAATTACATGAAAATAGATATAGTTTAAGCTGAGAGCAGAAAACCAAATGAGACTTGGGTGTATTGTTCTTTCTTTGGACTGTAGAAGAAACAGAAAGGAAGGAAACAGAAGTTTTCTAAAACACAGAAGAGGGGTTTCTTCTTGAAAATATAAAATAATCTGCCCACTAACAATTTATGAGTTCTCTGAATTCTCCAAGTAAAAGAAGAGGTGTTAACAAATAAGAAAGCACAAAATGTATCAGGAGGGCATATTTGCTGAACGATGTTCTTTTATCAGAAGTAATTTACTCAACTAAATAGGAATAAAACCACCATGTTTAGAAAAGTCTAGCCACTGACTAGGTTCCACTATTCTGCTAAACTGTAACTTGCCATACAACACTTGAAATAAAGCTGTAGATACAAGCTTCAACTTGAGGTGACTCCTTCTAGCATCTCCATGGATTAGCTCTCTAATACAAAGCATGATGGGAATCACTAGCACCCAGAAAGTGAGTCACCTTTTCAGAATAAGCTTAAGTAAAAACAGTTTCCTCTGACAAGGAAATCAAGCTGATTTTCAAGGTCACAGTAATTTCTCAGTACCTCAGAAAACCAACTGAAATAAGTATTATAATAAAGACTGTTGCTAACAGAGGGAAAAGTTGTTCACAGTTCTCACCATTTATAATCAAACTGGAAAGCTTTTTTAACCTTTTAAAAAGATATAAACGTTAATATTATTTATTATATACATATTATAATTATATAAATATACTTCTATGTATATAAAAATATAACTTATCCTTGAAGGCTTCAGACATAGGAAAACACTGATTTAAGCATCAGAAGGTATGAGTACTCAGACAGCTTAGAACATCCACCACAGCACAAGCCAGAGAATTTAATTCAGTAATTGTACTCCCTTCACTAGATAAATTTAAGCATATACCAATTCATAGAATATAAATGCTTATTCAATTAAGCTTATAATTAATCGAAAAATAGACTTCCTTGAAGATTTTCAAATAAGACTTGAACTGAAACACTAGCTAGTTAGTATTTAACAGATAAGTACCTTGATATACTTTTCTTCAGAAGATAATTAGCATGTAAATAATCTTTAGTCTCTAAAATATATTTAAAAAGTATCAACCTTTTCCACTATGATGAGGTCTCCAACTTGTATGTCTGAACTCTTAACTTGCACTTTACCTTAAAAAAAAGAAGAAATGTAATCAACTTAGGCAGACATTAGTAGAGTCACAAGAATATAAACTCTAGAATGCAATTTATACTTGAAGATGTTACTGTTTGGTAAAAATCTTATAATTTATACAAAATGGATCTCTGATAAACACAATAAATAGATTTCATCAGTTTGACTAAATAATTCACTGGTTTTAAAATCTAGTTTTGTAACCAGTTAGCTATTGTAGAAGTATTAAGAGGAAAAGTATGTATGGAAGATACTCAAGTCTGATCTACAGTATCAATAACAGAATTGTAAAATTGGAAAAAGGAGTCTTTCACATCTCTTACTAGACACCACTTCTATTTCTGACAAGTCAAGAGTTGATGGCTTACAGTCATGGAGCATTCTCACATAGAAGTTTAGTCACAGCTCAGTTACCAACAGGTAGCTTTGCTTGGCCACTAAAGATACTGATATAATTGGCATTCTTTGACACTTGTTGGCAATTATAGTGGAAAACAGGTAAGCCTCTCTAAAGTCAGAAGAAATGCCTGAAGATTTCATTTTAGACAAGTAAAATATCAGAAAGTTGAAATAGAGGTTTTTTGATTCTCGAGAGCTGCCCAGTCAGTAACTGCTGTGAAAAACTCATTCAAAAATATACACAGCACACATACCAGTTTAATTTCTGTGTGTTCTTTAACATATTAATATTTGTATAACTTAAGTTTTAACATTCTTATTTGATAGACTGAAAAAACTGAGACAGAGAGGTTAAGCTACTGCTTAATGAGTTACAGTTGATCTCATCAGAATTCAGTTGTTCTAGTCTCAGGTTCTTGCTACAATTCCAGAAAAAGTACTTTCCTGAGTTGAAAACAACCAACCCCACCACTCCCCCCCAAACCTTGTAGACAAACAAGTCATGACATATAGAAACCCTCTTCCAAGATGTAACAGGTAATAAATTCAGAAGCAGTTAACTCAGAATATAAACATATATTTACACAGCCCAACAAGCTGAAGCACACCCCCATACAGAATATCCTTTCCTATCAGAAACACTATCATGATTATGATTCCAAGCATCGGGCATCTGATTAGCAGGTATCAGATGACAAGAATGTCAAAATACAGTCAGGTGCTAGGGTTCTAAAAAAAAAAAAAAAAAAAAAAAAAAAAAATCAGACTGAACGAATTAGAATGGAAGACCCACAAAAGCATAGAATAAGCAGCAATCAGTTTAGAGTTTAATCCAAGTATTAGAATGTGCACTGACAAATCTATTCATATCATCTCTCAAAGTTATATTAACTACAAAAGAAAAGCTAAGATAGGTTCCAAATCCATGAGACCTCCTTATAACTCTCAGTGAAAAGAGATCAGGGTTAACCTCAAAAAATTCCTTATACTTACATGTGCATTTGGTGAAAGGTAGTAAGATTCATGTTTTGAGTAATTATTTTCAGTACTTGCTCTTTAAAACTGCATTTTATGCAAAATTAATAGTTGTTTTATGTTTCAGTCAATAAGTGTATTTCTATACCTAATCTTTAATACATTTTCCATGACATTAGCACTTTAAAAATGTGCAATGTCAGAGGAAAATCAGAACTTTTGTTCAGTCTGTCTCTAAGGTTATTTCTGAAAGCCATTGGTTGTTATTGATAATGATCTTTCTAAGTTTTTCAGTTGCCAGAAACACCTTCCACCCACCCACAAATATAAAATAAATTGTATCTTCAGCCTGACTCCTAAACTCTGTCATAACATGTTTGTGAGGGTGAAGGGAGTAGCAGAGTAGACTGAGGTATAAAACAAGCTGTAGTGAGAAACATTAGCAGTTCTTTACAGAAATTTCAAGATAGCTATGGAAATTAAGTTAGTGTCAATACCTCAACATTTTTTTTAAATCTAAAGTTACTAATACTAAAGCTCAACCACTAAAAGAAAGTCTGATATCAAATCAACATACTGAGTCTGCTTCACTGTAGAAGCCTGTGAATTCTCTTTATAAATTCTCAAGTTTTGTCTAGAAGTGAATAGCGTATACCAGAAAATATCATGTTTACTTTGCTGTCTAAGTCTGCTAGCTTTAACAAAAGGGTAACATTTCCTATTTGGTTTCAAATTCCTCCACTAACAATTTTCATCATTTTATCAGTGTGATAATCAAGTCAATCAACTGATTATAGTAATAACAGCCACAGAAATCCTAGTACCAGCTGCATTAAGTCTCAGATCTACGCCACCTATGCAGTCATGTATGACCAAAGCCATTCAGAGATCCTAATCAAATGCAACTACTAGTAATTTTATCAACTTAAACAATTGTCCTTTCCACAGCCATCTTCTAACAGCATTTACAGTAAAGATGAAAAGACACTAAGCCTCAAGAAGACAAGAGAAGGTAGAACGTTCATTGGTAACATGATGTAGGGCAGACAAAAGCAGACTCCTGGTGCCAAGTATACCAACAGGAACCCTCACTGCACCTTTGCTTGTACTCAGTCTAGCAACCCTGGGATTTTCACATTATGAATTGAAAAGTTTCCTTATGAGACTGTTTTCTAGGTGGCTTAGTGTAACACCACAGAATACTGTCTATTACTCACTAACATGTCTTGTTAGAGCACCCTGTATATCCCCACATGTAAGGAAGTAGCCTGTGACATACAAGACAATTAATTCTACAATGAATGTGAATGACAGGGCATATTCCACTAAAAAATAAATGCTAAAACCTGTCAGTAATTCAGAGAGTGGCTTAAAAGTTTGACAAGTCAATAAATAACACTTTCCTTTAGACTAGCAAAAATAAGAATCATTAGATACCACATCAGAGAACATTAAAATAATGCAATAATACATCTTAGTGAAGATGAATTTAGAGAAAGACACTCAATGTTATTCACTGCATAAATTATTTTTGCAAACTATTTTTTCTCTAAAAACATCTCTGTAGCAAAACACTCTTCACCATCTGTGTAATTACCAATAAAAAGTCCAAAGCTGTCAGAAGTGGTTGCGCATCCAGACTTTATAGTCCACCAAGGCGCAAGGCTTTTGCCTAAAGCAACATATAGAATTATGCAGAACTGGAACACTGAAATGTGTCTGTAGTAATTCATTAAACTCCCAAGATAAAGCCTTTTGAAATGAACTGCAGTGATTTGAAAAACTAATAAATATCTCATATGTGCTAACAACTATTTCACATTAAAAAATTAAGAAATGAAGTAAACAAAATGTGGTTATCAGAAACAACTTTGTTTCTTTTTATTAAAAAGTGTTTCTACTACATCAGTGCAAACCACTCCTGAAAGAACAGTAACTTCAGAGAGTAGCATTTTCAAATTCTTTTTAATTTGTTATTACATCCCACTCATGGTACCTTGAGTACTCTCTGACATACTGCTTCTGGAGTTGGTAACAGAGCTTGTCTCAAACACATAAATGTAAAACTCTTGAATGAAGGGAGTCAAGGTTAGATCATATGAAAGTTTATCATGTATCTATTAGCCTGAGTTGTCAGTATAGTTTAGTGTATACATAATATAATGGGGAGATGGGAGGGAGTGGGGGAGGCAGGCAGTGGGGAAAAGCTTAAAGCTTCAGGGAGTCCAAGGTGAGGATGCTTCTGCAACTCAGCGCAAGTGCTGTCCTTGGATCCTTATTTCAAACTCCATCTCACATAGTGAACTGCCGTTAGTCTTTAATTATCAACATAAAACTTTAGAGAGAAGCTTCCTAGCTCCTCTCTCCTACGTACTATGACCTCTTGGGTGAAATGGAAAGCCTTCATTCCTTCTTATCCAATCTCCTGGATGCTGCAAAAATGTGGAAGAAAACAGTCCCCCAGACATTTCCTCTCTTTCAGCCTCTTTTTCAAATTCTTTCTTACATTAAAATTTCAAGTTTTGTTTCTGCTGTTGCTTACTGCTTCCCTAATCAGATGGATTCAATTTATATAATTCTTCAATGAATTAATATTTTAATAACTTATTCCAAATGGTCTAAATACCAGGAATGAAATCATTGTTAGGTTTGAAATCTTGCAAGCAATAAAGACTTAATGTTGTCTCTCTATGTTAAGAAAATTTGTTGGCTTTTTTTAAAAGCATTGGCTTTTTAAAAAGCAAAAGGACCACCTGTTCTGCAACTCATAGTTGTGACTATCACAGTTAGTTATGATGTTCTTGATCTTTTTGTTTTCAGTAACACTGCATGGGCAAACCTAACTAGGAAAGGTTTGGGGCAGGACTGCCAACTTCAAGAATGGGAAAGGAAAAAAGGAGTTAAAATTGCTTTTCAATTTTATTATCCAATTGGCTTTTGGCAGTTTAATGAAAGAGATAATAGCCTGTTTATGAAATTGAGGTCATTCTTCTGCAGAATAGCAGTGTTTTTTCATAGGCACTTAACTGGTCATACCTAAGTGCACAAGACAAGAAGCTGAGCCAAAAGTATAATGGTCCCTTAGGGAAAAAAAACAGAAGTTCTCCCAAACACGCATGCACAGGTCTAAATTTTTTTCCATCCCAGTTTCTGCTTTATAAAAGGATACACAGGTGAGCTGCTCTGAAGCAGAAAAAAGCAATTAAATTGACAGGATCTTCAAGCAAGTTAATTTCATTTCTACAGGCAGATTTCTTCCTCCCTCCAACTTTAACTTGCATACTGACTGAAAACTGTTTATTAAGGATTTGCAGACTTCGATATGCAAAAACACAAAGTGGATTTTGCAACAAACATCTCAATAAAAAGATTAAGACATCAGAATGCATTATACAATGAACAATCTAGGAGATTCAATACCATAATCTGGAAAAATATGCAAGGAAAAAGATTCACATGAAAGACAGGGGGACCGGTATATTAATTGACTTGCTCACATAAAAATTCAATACATTCACTGATTTGCATGTTTCATCACTTGCCACAAAGGGTTGAAAAAGTAGAAACCACTAAAACTGCATATGTAGCCAGTTCACCTTTCTGACAAGTGCAAAGTTACACATAGCAAATTCATGAGAGGATGACTGAAGACTGAGCTTTGCCATGTTACATGACAACTAGAAAATTGTGTAACACTGGATATCCCATGGATCAGAATTAGTCTATAGACTATAAACTGGCCATTGCTGCCTAAGTACAATTAAGTAACACTTAAAACAGATATCCCATTCTCCCTGGATTTCCTACTTGGAACAGCTCATTATTATTAAAAAAACCCTAAAACTTACTGATTAGAACAAATTCAGGGCCTTGAATTACTAAGAAGAAATTTTAAGTCCAGGAGTCACTAATGTGAATCCACCATCTTCAAAAAGCTGGTACTTCTCACGCTAGCAACATGCAAGTCTAAAGATGATACTCACGTTTTAACTGTTTAGGGGCTCCTGAGGCTAAGAATGACTCCACAGTCAACACTGCTAGGTAGTCAAAGACTTCCTGATTTTAATCTACTGCAGTGCTGTATAAAAAGATTTTAACTTAAAAATCAGCCCACCCACACTATCTTTATACAAGTAATTAATCACAATTCAAATCCCAGTAGCTTCTCTTGCTACAAATACATTTGTTTCCCTATAATAAACAAAAAATTTTGCAAAACAACTGAAGTGATTAAATTCTAATTTTTATCTTCCATAAATGGTACAATTAAACCAAAGGTAACACTGAACCTTTCTAATTTTTAGTTTTCCTACTGTCCAATATGAGCACAGGCAACCTGCTTAACCTCTCTATGTCAGTTTCTCCCATCTTTGAGATAGAAAAAAAAAATACCAGGTTCAAATAAAAGACTGTAAAACCTACATAGGTAAAAATCACTAGGAAAAAAAATACTAGAGCATTATAAAGTGCAGTTCCACTCTGAAAAGTGACTCTTAAGAGAGGCATCGATTTTCAGGCTTTTAATTAAATCAGTATCAAGTTTGTTCATTCACAAGTAACAAAGCCTTCTTTCTCCAAACCATTAGCCTGTAGGTTAGCATAGTAAACCTAACTGAATTTTTCCACTTGAAGAGTACTGCCAATATTAAAAATTAGGTAATTATACTGAAAGTTATTTATAAAAACAGTTTGCAGAAGTGTAGTACTTATTAATGTAGGCTTTATTAATTTGCACACACAAATACCTAAATCCTTCTGAAAACCTGTAAAAATCTTGGTCTAATTTTATCATAGCAGGAAGCCCTGCTTTTTTGCCTCAAAATGATACCTTTGAGTTTCAGAATGCCTTTTATGAAAAAGGAGCAATTTATCATCTATTCATTATTTTATACACGTGTTTGTGGCAATTTTTAGTTCAAGTGGGGACTGCAATAATGTTTTCATTCTTAAAAATGGCCACAACTCAGAATATCGTTAGCTCAATCACACTGTTGTCAACATAGGATTTAGAGTTCATTGTAAGCAGAGATCTTGAACCTTTCCTTCCGTAAAATATCACAATCTTGAAAAAACCCAAAACACAAACAAAACAAAAACCAAGTATGAATTCATGATGGCACTGACAGCAAAACCTGAAAGTCAAAAGAGATACACATTTCTGGATAAAAGCTGATATTCTTTTTTATAAAGGGCATTTTTAAAACCTCTTTTGAACAAGTCACTGCTCGCTAATGTGTCAGTTCCTGATATAACTGTTAGGCTTTACCTATATACTACTGTATACTATTTTAAAATCCCTATTCCGTATCTATAAAACAGCTGTGTCACGGTGACCAAATCCAATTTTAATTTGGCAACTTCCTCAGTTCTAGGAGAAGCTACAAAATTAAAAGTTTCTCAAATACACATAACCTTATGAAATATTTCATGAGCTCAGAAAGAGGAAATTAGGATTCCAAAACTTCTCCTTAAATGATGCTTAAATGCTTAGCAATTTACCAGAAACTCCATTGTTAACTCCAAAGAATTCAAGTGAAAAAAGTAGCACAAAAGGCACCAAACAGCTCTTAGAACAGCAAATGTCAGTCTTGACATTTACATTGCACTGGTAACTATAAACTATAAATGTGCTTCCAGATCTAAGAATTTCAGATTACTAACACTACTGCTGAATAGGGTACCATCTATTTCAAATATGAGTGTTCAGTGGCCTGCGGTAACAGTTCTAAAAAAAAAAAAAATTAATAAACCAACCAGCATGTAAACTAGAACTTTGAAAGAAAAGCCATTATGAGTTCATTTCTTTACAGATTGTATTAATGACTGTAAAGATCTGGAGGCCAGCAATGCAGCCACTTGTGTTAAACAAATGACAGCTATCCCATTTGCAAATTTCCACAGTGGTATGTCTAAATGTTGATAAAGCTACTTCAGGCTGACAAGGAAGGGAAGAACAATAGGCAAATATTCCTACAGTTGCTTCCTTCTGTATACAAACTCCAGAAAACAATGCAAGTCTCCATACTGCGAGGAAGCAGTATAAATTCCTCTCAGCTGCTAGGTTATGTCATCACTAATGAGACTGTTCACTTACCTTCCAATTACTTTTAAAAAAAAGGGTAAGATTTCACACAGAACATATTTGTGTTACATTACAAGCTTTTCATCCATTTTTTCTGAAGACAATATTATCCAGAGCTACTCCAAGAGTTTAGTTTCTAATTAAGACTCCCAGATATGGTGAGATTACTCTTCCCATTCACTCTCCAAAGGTATTTGTGAAGATAAAGTAAAAATTGCACTGAAATCTACATTGGGATTTAGTGAACAGAATTTACACTTGGCACAATGTATGCCATATACTCTAACTTTTTGAGACAGAACCTCACATGCCTTAACTTCCCACTTGCTAGAACTTTTATGGCAAGGAAAATCCTTAACAGAGGCTTCAAGGATACTGTAGCAAAACAACTTTCAAGGGTAATAGCAAGGTTATGTTGTTTTGTGAGGATATTCATTACAGTTTGACTTGATAATCAGTTATTCATTATTTTCTGGCACCATTCTGTGTGGCACTCTGTTCTGAATCTAAACAGTAAAATGTGCTAAGCAACATAAAAGTGGAGAGCAGCACATTGTTTTTCCTCTGTACTGGGTCTAGCTGAGCCGGAATTGTTTGTCCCCTATAGCAGCCCTCATGGTGCTGTGTTTGATGCTGGGAGCTGGCAGGGTGTTGGTGGCACCCTGGTGTTGTGGCTGCTGCTGAGCAGTGCTTACACAGCACCGAGGATCTTTCTGACATTTCCCCCACAGTGGGACGGGGTGGGCAAGATCTTGGGCGGGGACACAGCCAGGACAGCTGACCCCAACTGGCCAAAGGGATATTCCAGGCCATAGGACATCTGCTCAGTATAAAGCTGGGAGAAAGGAGGAAGGGGGTGGGGGCACCCTTGGTCCTCCGAGGCAACCACTGCGCGTATCGGAGCCCTGATTCCTGAGAAGGCCCCACATCGCCTCTTCATGGGAAGGAAAGAATACATCTGCTGTTTTCTTGTTTTTTGCTTCCACACGTGGACCTTTGCTTCACTTTGCTTATATTAAAACTGCTTTTGTTTTACCCACAGGGGTTGGTCTACCTTATTTTCTTTCCCCTCTTTGCCCTGTTGAGAAAACAAGGGGAAAGGGGGGGGAAGTGATAGAGCGACTTGGTGGGTACCTGGCATTTAGCCAAGGTCAAACAACCCATGTTTAAAATTTACAAAGTCCTACCAAATTTGCCACTTCACAGCTGAAGCACTTCATTAAAAGTCTTCATGAAAAACTGTCAAAGGTTTTGAATCCAAAGAAGTCCTAACTGATTATTTCTTGTACTGATTTCTGGAAAGAAAACTGGCTGTTCCTACTGCATGATCATATACAATTCAAATTATATGCAAAAATTGAAATCAATATTTTTGATACTAAAGCTGACACTCAATATATCTTCCTTTTCTTAAGCACAAATATATCCAACAAGTTTGAAAGGCTCTAGTTAATTTTAATTAGATTGTATTTCTTAGTTACTGATCCCTTATTTCCTATATACACTTGATAAATAGCTGACAGTGTTGTTGAGTTACTGTTCGGTATCAGTTTCAGAGGAGAACTGCACTTTGAAGTAACAGTACTAAACAGAAGAAAGCTTCAAAAAATATATACAATTATACATACACCTTTCCTCTACAAACAGCAAAAGATTTACAACACCTCTTAAACAGATCAAGTTTAACAATCATATTTATCTACAGGAAATCAAGCAATTTAGTTCAGTATCAGTTTCATTCTGAAAAGTGCATCTTGAGACTATTAGTTATTTCTTTGAACTGAAAGCCTGTAAATGTATTTATAAGATGATGAAATGTTTTAAGGATTTATACAAACGTTTTTGCTAACCTCGTACTGTCAGCTTGCTATATAACTGTGAGTTCATTTCTTTGTCTCTCTTGTAACGTCGAAATTCATCAACAGCTTCCCGTACCACCGTGACCGTCAAAACAAATCCCTGTTAAAGATATAATTATGCAATTCAGAATTATCAAAGTACTAGATTAGAAATACAGAAGTAGGAACACTATACAGAATATGTGCTTAGAATATTTACTTTTTTCTCATTTAGATTTTAGTGGTTTCTTTAGTCTGTTAATATATCATCTTTGTTCAAAAAAAGAAAAATTGTACTTCGTAGAATTATAATTAAAGTAACTAAATCCCCAAATACATGTTATTTAGATATAATTTGAAATTTTAAAAACTAAAATGCTTTGGATGAGCTGCAGACAGCCTTTACAGTTCAATAAGCATATTTCCCTATCTTCCACAAACTTTTAAGGCTTTAGAAAAAACATTTAAGAATTCTCCAATTCTAATCTTGAGTTCGCTGCCTTTTTCTTAACAGAGAAAAGGTAAACAGATGGCTAGCTTAATTAATTTTGCCATCTTAAATGTATTTATTTACTAATATGTCACAAATATTGACAAAGAAAAGGGGGTTTGTTCTGAAAAAACTAAGTATCTAAATGCTTTGGCTGCTATATTCACAGGATACTGCCACTGCAGCTTCTGCTGGAAGCAGAGATTGAGCTACACACAACTAACATGGTCTCGGACCACAAAAGATAGGAAGCTAAAAAGAATACAAAACAGTTCAGGGATAAGCACATAAGCCTCCTCTCTCCCTTTATAAACCTCCTCAGATATGGTCTTCTGGTTTCTTACACTCAAGTGATCAGTCTTTCTCCACCAATGAAAATGAAATAAAACAGCAGAGGGGTCTTATCATTACTGTAAGTAAGATCACTAAAAAATTCAAATATTCAGAAATCCTCCAATAGATAAGATTCTAGATTATCTGTCCAGCTTCAGACACCCACCAATACCTTCCTTCTATAAAAGAAAATTTATACCATTAGACTTCTTTTCTGGCAGAAGTCCAACAGTTTGCCAACCTTTCTCTAGCTTCCCAGCAATAAGAAACAAGTGAACATATAGAGTTTTCCTAAAGGAGGATTGACTAAAACGCTCCTTTTCAATACCAAGGGCTGTTTTACAGTTCCAGCCCAAAATTCCAAGGTTTATTCTGTTGCAACCTTCTTGTTTGTTCAGGTTTACAGTAGCTACAATAATTAAATTAGAACTACATAGAACAAAGAACATCCTTTTTACTTCTAGGGAACAACTAAATGAGCTTCTCCCCCTTTCTGGCAGCAGCATTTGCACAAGCTTTGGCAGTACAGATATTTTAGCAGCATAAAAAAGGCACTCCTGAAGCACCTTCAAATATAGTTGCCAATTGCACATATCTTATTAACTAGACAGTATACAAAGCACAGAATGTTTTTTGCAAGAAATTTCCCCTAACAGTCACTACACATTGCTGGGCAGTTCAGTACAGCTGACCCTGACTGTGAGGAACAATTTAAGAAAGACATTTCCTTTTTTCCTCATTTGCTCAAAGGAACTTGATATTCTTCCACAGGCGAACTGAAATTGTGAAGCCATTCTTACAAAAAAACCTGTCATCTTTAACTGTAACCAGTTATGTATCTTTAGCATACTGCTTACAAAATTGTATGGTTTACATGTTTGTATGCTGGGACTCAAAATAAGAAGTCCATTTCCTGCTCTGTGAGTGACAACAAACCAGTAAAATACAGTCTTGTTTGAAGAACTCCAGCACTTGATCTAAGTGTGTTATGTCTGTCTCTTGTAAAAACTGTTGAAATAACAAAATACCAAAACCAACATCAAAAAAACACCAAAAAACCTTTTAGCAAATAGTCAACTTCTATACAGTTGAGTTTAAATATCAGACTGAACAATTCTTTTTTTCCTTTAAAACACTGAGAGAAAATACAAGCCAACTCATAGCTGCTACTCTGATTATTACTGAACATTTATCAGCAGTTACATGTTCTTCAAAGAAAACCAAACTTACCTGTTAAGCAACAAAGACTGCCCAATGGGTCTGACTTAAAATGTTTTCTATTTTCATCATACATACTCAGCCTTACTCAACATCCAATTAATCTCTTTTACCTGGAGGTTAATCATTAGTAGAAAAGCTATTCAAGTAGAAATAAATGAGTTAGCAAAAAAAGGGTACCACTAGCACTAACTGAGATACTGTATTTTCAAGCTGTATGTGAAAACTAGGAAAAATAATTTGAAAAATCCTTAAATAATACAAACACATCTATACAGAACAGATTACCAGTGTTCACAAAATACAGTGCTTTCTCCCTTCTTTGGGCAATGATCCTATGTGATTTTCTTTCCTTATTACCCCACTAACATACAGAGCTGTACACAGCACTTCACTGTGAAGAGACCAACTTCCAGCCAGGCTGATTTCTGTCTTTTTACTCGTCTAGTGACAAAGACCTTTGTAAATATCCATTTCAAATCCCACTGTTGAACAAATTTTCTGCTTTGGAAGTGTTTCTTGTTACAGCAGAAGCCAAAAGTTGTCTGGAAATAGAGGTGTGAAGAACCTCCAGGACAATCGCTCCATTTATCAATACTTAAAAGGACACATGTTGCAACAATTAAAACAATGAAATCAATCCAGAATATTTACTCTATTGACTTGTTAAGAACGACCTTTACTCAAGCAATCAGCATGTCACTGTTCCTCTTGAATACCACTGAGAATAAATGCTACTGAAAAATACAATTTTTTTTATAAATTTAGAAAATAAAGCATTTGTTCTTCCTGCCTCGCTTTTAAACCTGGGGTGGAAGGGCTGGGAGGAAGATGAAAGAGTTGTAATGATCTGGTTACAAAAAAGAAAAGAATTCCAAATCATGGGAATATAGCTGGCAGATTACCAGAAGGGCCTCCTCTGAAGAGAATACAATTTTACACCTTAGGAAACCTGAGTCAAAAGCAACTGGTTTGAACAGTTTCCCAAGAAAATACTGCAGAGGGCTCAATAAGAAAAAGATGTATTGAAAAGAAGTCAGTGCAACTGGCAGGGCAATCAATTAAGAAAAGCATGTTTAATGAATAACTTATTTTCAAGATGCTTTTTCCTCCTGCTTTATCCATGGTTTAAAATATTTTATCTCAATTTTTGTCAAAAGAGGACATGCTAAAAAACAATACAGAAGGAATGCAAAAAATTCATTATTTAAATTCTCAGCTAGCCTGAAAACAACAGATTCAGCAAATAACAATAAACTGAAAGAATCTTAACACACAAATTACCTATGTTACCAAATAAAGTTCTTCACTAGCTGGAGATTTTTTTTTTTTTTTAAACCTCTCAAGTGACCAGCAGTCAGAAAAAAAGCACTGCTCAGACTAGCTAGTTAACAAAAGCAACCTCCAGCCTGTGTGGTAGGCAGGTGGAAGGGAGGGCTATCAAAAAACAGCTTCTGGAGTATCTCTGTAAAATACTGTCATTTTAAATAAGCAATTTATATCTATTACATTCTTCAACCACTGTAGTTTACCAGATGCAAATTTATGAAATGTATGTATACATGAACTTTTCATCTAAAGTTAAAAAAACCAAAACTTCTAGTTAATAGTATTTTTCTGTTTACCAGAGGAGCCCAGTACGTGTACAGGTAGCCTATTTTCAATGCTGGTACAAACTGTGAGCAGGACACGACGAGAAAATAGAGATTCAAGAAAAACTTGAACTGTTCATATAAAACCTAAAATGAAGAACACAAAATAGATAAATGCCTTAAAATCTGTACCCATAATGTACATAAAATTCTCTTTTTCATTATAGTAGATGTAAAACCATTATATGGCATACTATTACATACGGTACTATTGTAGTACTATAGCACAATATGCAATATATCATCACAAACTACTACAAGCACTAAGTTACTTCAATAGTATACTGCTATTTCTGTTGAGAAAAACCCTTTGATATCAATGCCTCTTCACTCTGAAAAAAGCAATTTGCTAAATTTTTGATATTTTGAAAACTGGACAATGTGAAGTCAATCTTTACAAATATATTATATATATATATATATATATCAAGATCACTGTGCAAATATTTACTCCGAAATTTTAACAGCAAACAAGTCAGATGTTTGTAGAAGGATCTTGCAATAATTTTATATCCACAATAGTTACCTTTGAGTTAAAACAGTTTCTGTAAATTTTCTTTTTTTACAGTATCAATAAAAAAAGCAAAATAAGGTCATATCTGAATTTTCATCAATTACATTAAGTTTTCACTTTTAACTGTTAAAGGTTTTCTTCTTAAAAAATACAGCATTAAAAGTAAACCTTAATTTTTCCTTAAGTATCAATACTTAAATTCTGTTTTATCTGTCTCACTATGTCTTCTTGTCTTAAATGTGTTCATATCCTGGCCTTAAATAATAATAAAACCAAAACTGGCATCAGAGGAACACAAACATTTTACAAAAATGTCATCCTAGTCTCTGTCATTTAAACTTCTACAGAGTAACAAATCTAAGTAAGCCATACCATGATACCCTGCATCACTCAGAATACCCTAAAACTTCAGCCCTGTCTGGAGCACATACAGAAAACAGTATACATTAACTCCTCATTACTTCTGTTCACTGCATTTCCGCAGCAAACTCAACAAAGCCACTGAAGCTTCTCCTCTTGCAGGGGTGGAAGGTCTCCAACTCATCTGCCACCTTTCTGAAGTCCTTTGGTTTTCAAAGGGAGAAACGCTGCTATCAATCAGACATGCTCCTTCAAGATAACCATTTCTTACTGTTCTTAAAAATAGTGAAACTACTCGATGTTCAAGAATAAAGGTTGTTTAGAAATAAAAAATGAACACTACAGAAAAGATCCATTGAGTAAGGGTAAGAAATACTGCTCTCTTTCCAAGTGCCTATCATGTGGAAATCTCAGAATAAAGCATTATTCTTCAGTTTTGATAGCAAGATAAGCTTTTTACAAAAGCAACCACAGTGTAAGTTCTCAGAAAGTTTAAACTACAAAAAATCTGGCCCAGAATAACATGGGCTTTTGAGGTAATCAGCATTAAATTTCTCCAAAGATTATTTTGCAATAAATATTGGTACATATGTTTATTAATAAATGAAAGGTTTGGTCTGAACTCTTACATAATTGTCCAAGTTTTAAGTGAAGACACAGTAACCTTATCACGGAATATACTGTCCCATATTCCAAACAGATAACATGCAGAGAGCCCCTTGGTAATTAAAAGCAACACTTCAACAAATGCATGTTTTCAACATTATTTATAATTACAATGCTTAAGAACTTCATTCACTTTAGAGAATTTTGAATCTTCAAAGACTTTATGTATTTTTTTAGTAGGCCAGAATAACATGGTACCTCCAAGCAGGATGATCAAAAGTGGCTTCTGAACTTGAAACATTGAAATTGGAGAAAATGAATTATCAATTATTTCAAAGCTAAAAGATTAAAAATAGATCAAAAAGCCATATTTAAAGAGCATCTCCATCTTTTAATCTTACAATTCAGTTAATATTACAACTTGTGCATGAAAATCGGAGTTATTGGACATTTATTGCTATTTTCAGTCCAACATTATTACTCAGTTATGTAAAAACATACACCCTAGGAAAAATATTCAATGAAGTTCACTTCAAAGTGTCTTTGACAGGCACAACAACGTAGCAATACCAGTTTCTTGCAAGAGTGCTACACTTCAACTAAAGGCTACCTAATCAGCCTCAAATAAAAGGATTTTTTCCAAAAGCATGGAATTCTATTCCACTATTTACAAACAAAACTGTCAAGCCATAAAAGTAAAATTTGAAGTTGCAGGGAAAGGCAGAGCATTCTTCCAAAATGAAACTAATTCAGGTTGAACCTGTACCTTATATTAATACTGAGAAAATTTATATGTTCATTTGAAGCAGTATACTTAACTGTTTACAAAGACTTGATATACCAGGTCAAAGAGAAGTCCACAGAGTACTTTGTGAGGTGCAGAACTGCGAGAGCACCCATCTTGCTGGAGAAGGTGTGAGTTAAAAAGCACCTTCCAACAAATCTTTTGAGTCCTGGCAGACCACAGATCATTCAATACACAGCTAAACACTTCCAGATAGTTAAGCAAATTGAAAATCCTCTTAGTTACATCAATCTGATTTTTAAAAAAGAGACTACTGCTTTGAAGTTCAGGAGAGGTACTCAAAACCTGTCCACCACAGAAAATATTCTTTATAGAAATGTACACAAAATTCCTCAGGAGCCGTACCAAGATGGATACAATATCGACCCAACTGGTATAAAGGTAGAAGTAGTAAGCATTTTATATAAATGTTAGGAAATTAGATTATAACTTTGGAAATGTTACAGCTCTTTTAGCCAATAAGTAAAATTCTCTTAATCTAAACATTATTTTAAGCTTGTTTTTTGATAGGAAATCATTCAATATTTCCCATTGCCAGCTGCAATGCTAAAACAGATACAACTCTAAACAGAAGATAAAATTTGAGACAACGAAAATTTCAACAAAGCTAAATCATTGGAGTCAATATTTATGAATTAGTTACATTTATGAGTTTGAAAACAATACAACTACGTTCCCTACAAATTACTTCTAGTGGAACAGCATAAAACACAGATAGCTACACAGTATTTCTGATCCATGAAAAACATTAATTTATGTCTAAAATGAAAACTCAGAAACATTTTATTTTCACCAACTACTGGGCTTCATCTTCAGGACGTCACTTAATTTTGAAATTACTACTGAGTTTCCAAATACTACCATCAAAATCAAAACCTGATTCTGCCTATACTGTAAAACCCAAGCTTTTCAAAAGATAAAAATTGAACAGACATTCACTCTCTCAACAGGTAACTAACTGCAAACTATGGCTTATCCCTACAGGAAACATGAATCTAGTTTAGGATTTGTAATCTACACTGCAGATTTCTAGTCACAATAATCAATGGCTTACTATATGCTTAATGAATTTTCTGACCTTCAGGAAAACATATGCGGCTTAACCAATGTCAGTGTATTTAATAATTTAAACTTCGGAAGAAAACATTTACTTCATTCAATAGAGATGAGAATATTTTATCCGCCTGTGATAAGTGACATTTTATTTCTTTGACAGGAGATCAGTCTTAATTACAAAGCCATTAATTTTTTTGTTGTTTTAATAAAGAAATGTGTTAGAAAGCACCTGTCAGTCATTGGACCAAAGAGGCCAGAAGAATACAATCAATACTCTTATAAACCAGCATGATCACTTAAATAAAAAATTTAAGACAAAGCATGTCTGTAATTCAAATGTAAAGACATTCAGTTTTTACAAGAAGACACGGGACTCTTGGATGGTATTAGGAAAGGTATGAGTAAAAGCATGCTAGTAAAATTTATAATATCACAGCAGCATACATTTTTAGGTTTTAACCATGGAAGCTTCAAAAGTTGTCTTCTCTATCGCTATATTTCATTATAATGAGATTTTTTTTAAAAGTATGAACTAGACAAAACTGTAATGTCTCTTTTGTCTTCATATATGCTGTGAACATTATAAGCAAACAACTGAAATTAAGATGCCATATGGCTTTTTAGGAAAAAAAGTGACAAAAAACCTTCTACTCCACAACAAAAGTATTGTCTGAAGAACTGCATTCAAAACCAAAGACATCACTGTTTCTAAAACTGCAGTAAGAAATACAGCTATGAAAAGTACTAGTGTATTAAACTAGGCCTTATATGCTGTCGTATAAATTGAAGAGGTGGGTTGTTTTTGTCCTTTAAGGAGTTGCCCGCTTCAGAACACTTCATTTATAATGCTTTCAATGGCAGAGAGTATGAGAAAATATCTATGGCAATACATTATAATTTTCAACTCTTTATTTCTCAACTGAAGTGCTTTGTAGTATTTTCACAACTGACTGTGTAGAAGCGCGTCTGTTTTTAAAAGAGGATTACAAATTTCTACTGGTGAATAGAAAAGTGCAAGGAAACCCATCTCAAATTTCTAAAGCTTCACTAAATTCCAGCCACTCAATCATACACACTGCACTTCACTAAATATCCCTTTGAAAGCAAAACAATTTAGAAAAAAGTAGCCTTCCTCAAGTGTCAATTTTAATTGAAGATATCAAGATAAATGTAAAAAAAGAAAGGAGAATCTGGGCAAATAATTATCTTTTTGCAGAATTGTCAAAAACAACTACAGAACATATAGTCAGCCCAACACCAAAAAATGGTTCGTAGCCTTACCCCAGGTATAAAGGTAAAGACGTTGTATTTTTGATTTTTAATGGCATTTTTTGGGTATTTTTCTTCACACTTTTCAGGACACCCAAGCCACACTGTGCGAGCCTTCAGCTCTTTCTTTCTTCGGCAAATGTTTATGAGCCAATCAGAACAACTGAAAAGAAAAACAATTGTTTACTTTAAAACTAAAAGTTTACTATATGTGTTTACTATTTCCAAACCTGGAACCATAAAGGCAAATACCTAAGAAAAACACACTTTAAAATTTTTGCCACATCTAAACAAGCAAGCATGATATTGACTTGTAGTATTTAGGGCAATTATACAGTACTCAACTCATTCAGATATATAACAGAATTCCTAATAAAATAATGACAAGTTTCACTACACCTTGCCCTGACACAAGTTCAAAAAATTCCAGTTAATACAAGTCTGCATTAGCAGTGCCTAAATGCCCCCACTATTAAATAATTAACTCATCCATCATACCTTTCATTCCTTTGGCTAAACTTTTTATCTTGTATTACCGATACTCAAATTATGCTAATGACTGAAGAGGAAATAAAGCTTCTGTTAGATAAAGGCAGAAAAATTTCAACAGCTTTGTATACAATTACCACATAATCTGTAAATCTTAGTTTCCTCCATAAAACTGCCTATAGCAGACATAACAGAGAAGCATACCTAATGCCACTGTCAAATGTTTTCAACCAAAAAACCCCCCCCAAATCAACACCCCAATGTAAATGCAGATCACACAATCTGCAATGGTGAACTTCAGTTCACAGGAGAAAGGAAACACATGCTTGCCTAACCAGTTTACAAATGAAGAGGGTTTAAATTATGAGCAATGAGGTAAGAGAAAAGAGCTCATAGCCACATTTAAACAACTGCATTTGGGCAAGGACACAGGAATGATGGGATGAGATCACAATGGAGGAGGAACAAAAGACTAGCAAACAGAATCATGCCGCTGAGGCTCAGCAGACTATTTACTAACAGTAAAACAAGAAACAAACACGGATGTGACAACTCACATAATACAATCAATCAGCCTAAAACTTGCTAGGACTATCCACAGGGGCAGATTATTAACACAGATGAATACAGATGGTTTAGAAAGAAAAGCAGCTTTGCCATACACTGTATATATTTGCTTTACAATCTTGCATGCTAAAGGAGTATTTCTCTGCATTTTTTAATACTGGAGAAAGGTGCCTCAGTCATGTTGGGAGTCTGTTTTAGGCAACTGAATCAAGAAGACTAAGCTGACGGGCCTTCCATGAGCATCTACTGCAGCCAAAGCACAGACCTAGCTGGTCACAGTGGATTTCAGCTACATCAGCAGGTCAAGTTGAAGGTGAAGGAAAGTGACACACATTTTTCTCATGAGATTTTTGAATATACTGACAATACTTCTGATGCAGAAAAAAAGAGTAACCATTAGGAAGTTCTTATAAATTGTATTCAAGCCAACAGAAAGGATTTTGCTGAGAACAGGAAGGGAAAATTATGATCCAGACACGTGAGCACTATTTCCTGGATGAATTCTGTATGTTCAACCTATTTGTATGCATTTCTACAGACCTGAAAGAAAACAGAAAGTCTTAACCAACACTGACATGTCAAGAGCAACCTCTCAAATGGAACTAAATTACCATCTGAGAAGAACCAGATGCACTATACTGCATGAGATTAACATGTCCTCTCTTGACTCCTGGTGCTTTGAGCACCCTGATCTAGTGAAAGATGTTCCTGCCCATAGCCAGGGAGGTTGGACTAGATGATCTTTAAATGTTCCTTCCAACCCAAATCATTCTATGATTCTCTGTCTCTTAAAATAAAACTTAGCTCAAGATATTTATCATAAGGAAAGTAAAGGAACACATTCTTGGAACTGACACAGTTGGAAAAATCATAATTGCAGAGTAGCTTGTTACAAAACTAAAATAATTTCAGTGAGGTTCTGCAAAGCTTTATCTAGAACTTACTGGGTAATTGACTATTGAGTATTTCATTTTTTCAGACAATAAAAAGCTAGAAGAGACAGGACTACATGCAAATAGATAAGAATTCAAAGCTGTCTTGACAGACTGGAAGAACTACCAGTCCAAGAACTTCCAAGATCTACCTGGAAGATATAGAACACAGTTAAACAGGCAAAAGCACAACACAATATGTTTACATAATCAACTATACAAACACAGAACTGGAAGAGTTAGCAGATGTCAGGTCAGAAGAGGTGACTCAGTTACTGCATGAGAATGGTATACATGTGCAAAAACCCAGCGTATATCTGGTCAGCATGGACAGGCATACTGCTAGCAACTTGTAAATGTATTCATTTTTCTCAATCCAGCACTAGCAAGATCTTAGTTGGCTTACAATACCATTTTGAATACCAAATTTCAACAAACAGGCCTATTGAGAAAACAAAGACCATGCAGAAGAGCAAAAAAACAATTACAGGTTTAGAAAGCAGGGCAAGCTTGTCTACTAGATGCACCAAAAGAAATGGAGTTGTTCAGAGAAGGCTGAATACGGACTTAATACAGTTTCAAGTATGTAAGAAACAGTTGCAAAGAGGAAAGGGACAATTATTCTTTAGGTCCATCATGGACTCAACTGTGGCAAATAAATAAGTGGAGCAGGGGGCAGGACTGAGTAAATGCTTCTGACAACTGGGGTAGAAAGAAACACTTAAGGAAGCTGAAATTGGTACCACTGCAGGTCTCTAAGACCTGGTTAGATCAGACATAAGCAATAGGTGTAATTCATCCTGTGGAAGCAAGGAATCGACTGAATGACCTCTTAAGGTCCTTTCCTATTCTGATTTTCCACAATTATAGGATCACGGTACACACAAATACACAGGGAAGGAAGGTTGATAATTAGCTTACATTGCCACGGTCACACTAAAATGTTCATGACTGTAGCCTGCATTATTGCAGGCCTATTACAAACTAACTTTGCCAAAGAAAAAATGGAAGTGAAAAAGTTGCAGGCTCCTTTTAAAGAAAATTAGAAGTTATGTAATAGAAAAATCATTCAAAGAAATATTCACTTTGCAATGGAAATGCCAGTACACCAATACAGACAGACATTTAAAACACTTCCATTTTAAATGCTGGATTCTGCAGATTTCCTCCCTGAATCTGTCACTATGGGATGGACATCAGTTTGGTTTGATGCTATGTTTATTTTTGTTACAAACATAAGTTAATTCAGCAACTTTTTCCCATCACTTTTAAATAGTGACAAAGAATTACCCTACTGTAAAAACCATAATAGTGTTAGTTCAACATTCAAAGTTCAGCCCTGTTATTTAGTAACATACAAGTCAGAAAAATCAAGTTATCTTGATCCTTATTTAAATTTGTCTTTAAAGCAAAATGAACAGCAGTCTTTCAACATCACGGCCCCGCAGTCAGCACAATGGCTAGTACCACCCTCCTCCAATAACAAAGGTGTGGATTCCTGACCCTTCCCTTGTGCTGATACAACTACTCATGCAACTGCATGGGTAAACTGGACCTGCAAACCAATCCAGATGTAACCTAACACAGAATAAAAAGGGGGACTATTTTCTGTTAGACCCACCACCCCAATCTTTAAAAAAAAAATAAAATATATCAATAGCACTGTGAAAATAGTTGAAATAACGCAAGCTATGTGCTTGCAGGAGAAGGTGGAATGATCCCACTCAGTGCCAGCTTGGATTTACACTTGATAAAACTGGTTACAGAGTTAAAGCTTTAAATGTATTCATTTCCAGAGCATGGTAGTGGAGAGGACAATACAAATGGAAGAGACAGCTTATCTGTATAGTAAGAAGCGTAAACCAGACAAACCAAAAAAGTTATGAGGAAAAATAATTTTTTCCAGGGAACACAAACAAGCATGACAGTTTCTGTCTACAAGCCTGCAGACAGAAATTTCCAGACAGCCTTTGAAATCTTGCATTGCTTAAATCAGTTTTTGAATTTAAACTATAAACAGACTAAACATTTGACTAAGCACAGTCTCTTTTGTAATTTCCTCAGACACTGAGGACTCTTCTATTGCTAAAATTAAACATTTAACTAAAGTAACTGAATTATACTGCCTTCCTTGCCACGGAGTTTCCCATTCTTGAAACTACTTTTTCTGTTACAGATCAACAGACAAGCTGAAAGAGATGCCACAATGACCATTAGTTTAGCAAATGCCAAAAAGTACAGACACAAGAATGATGTCTGACTGGGAAACAACTGTGATATCTTTGATAAAATGAATCTGAGAGCTAACAATGCGCAAGTACTCAGATGCAAGAAAATCTCAAGTGATGAAAATATTAGAGGTTATGACCAAACCAGTAATGTAATGGTTCAGATGAGTTTTACTATCTTAAAAATAAAAATCAGTTAGATTCTGCCATTTACAGTCTCAGCAGTAATCACTTGTTTCACAGGAAATTGCTAACTTTAAAAATCCTGGACAATTTGCATTATTTCAGATTTTTAAGAACAATGAAGTATACCTGATATTTTTGAAACTCAGATTATCAACACCCAACACATACTTAACCTGTTCTCAAATTAACATTACCCAGTACAGAAACTATTTTTGCACAAGGGTATGGACTCTTTCATAGGCTTTTTGTACCCACTAAATTTGTGTGAAACAAAGATCAGGAAAAAAGCATTCTCCAAGTTTCAAATATCCTAAAAAACACAACATAAAATGTAGCATGATCAAGACACACTTCAGATTTTCCTGAAATCTTTTAACGTAAAACCACACCTTATGCAATGGATTCAACAATTAAAAAAACACGTGCTTGGTTACTGATTTAAGCATTTATTTCAAATGCCCTAGCCTAGAAAATTCAACACATGCACAGAAAGCTTTTTCTTAAGGTAGCTATAAACCATGTTGCCTATATCAATACAACAGACTGTGTATATGAAGACACAAATTGATAAAAAAACTTTAAGGTATATCTATTAAATGGCTTTTTACCAACCTGCTTCCTAAGGTGGTTGGTTTTGGTTTGTTTTTTTTTTAAGAAGCAATAACCAGAGCCTTATTATTAGTTACTGATGCCATATTAAAAAAAAAAAACAAAACAAAACCAACAACAAAAAAACCCCAAAAAAACACCTTAGAGTAATTGTTAAACAAGAATCCATAACTTTTTCAGAAATAGAGTGTATCTCTCCAAGTCAAAAGCTAAAGTCTGAACTGACTCTGCAGCTTTAATAATAAAGGCTTTTTAATTTTTTTTTTCATTACTTTTATCCTACAAGCTTAACTGCCAGTATCTTTCACAAAACAGCATTTTCATCAGAATGGAAAGATAATATAAAAGCTCTATATTGTCTGCAAGGGTCAGCTTTTCCTTATTAGGTTTTAAGTAGCAGAAACTAGTTCTGCAAAGAAAACATACTGTAATTATTGTACTCAACAGGTAGCTTCAGTAATCAGGCCAAAAGCAACACAGTGGTCATGTCATTCTTAAAAGATCAGCATTTTCCCATGCTTCTGCATAACAAATGCGTTGCAGATTAATTGAAAGCGTACAGGCCATCTCAGAGCCCAAATTAATCCGAGCATTTGATATCCCCTTCACTTCATATGGAAATGCCATTCAATGGCACCATTTTCATAGGGACAAAGTGTTTTTTGATAACAAGTGGAATGTAAATCTCATGAGAAAGAAATCAATCCAGCCCAAAGAACTCCAGAGTATTGATCTATGTGCATTATAATTTCACAAGCTTGAAGAGAATTTGTAAGTTAAAGGGGAAATGATTACAACGACAAAACAGCTGCTATATCAAAGTTTTCTTTTAACTGTGCTATGAAAGCAACAAATAAGCAGTTTCTGAAGTTAAAAGTTATATTGAATTGTTTTCAGCTTGTTCAAAATCAAAGACAACATTTGATTTAATTATGATTTTTTCCTTGCAAATGTAAAAACTGTTTAAAGACCTGCAGATTTGCAAATAAAGTTCATGCCATTCAGTTTTGATCAACAAGTCAATTGTCTGAACAGTTAAAATCTGAAAAAAGGATTTTTACAAATTCAATTTTAATGTACAGTGCACTTTATCAAATGTTCTATATTTGTTCCTGGCAAAAGGGTGAAACTTTTTCAACTAAACAGTAACAGTTTGTGATGTGGCAGCAAAAATCTATAGAATGTAAAATTCTAAAGCTGCAAAGTAAGAGATGGCAAACTTCCTCTCACAAAAATGAGATTAATCCTAACAATGCAAGACAGACAAAAAAAAATCCTAGTGGGTACAGGGGGTTTTGTTTGTTTGCCACAAGTGAAGTCATTATGAACACAAACATAAGACTTTCAGTGAGAACCCACAAGAAATCAGGGGCCCCCTGAGCTTGGCTCCAGACAGATGCCTAGTCTTTTATTGTGTTCATCTTTCCGTCACAGCTTTGAAAATATTACAATTTAGTTTAAAAAACAAAAAGAAATTCTGGATGTGAAGTTGAGATTTCAACCTCATCCAATCTCAGGTATGAAATACTAATTTCCATAAAAACAGGGTGAAGTTTTAAATTCTGTTCAACTGAACAAGTTTCAGACTGCCATGCTGTATTTCATCTCACACTACATTTAAAAGAATGCAGTTTGACGTCTAGAAATAAATTTCAGTTCTTTGTGTAACATGTATAAACCATCATCAAAACATGTGAAAATTGTTCTCTGACATGTTCTTCTCCATTTCAAGTGTGAAGGCATCAACACCCAATTCTGTCCCGAACTGATACTTCACATCACATAAATACAGTGTAACTCATTTTTCTACAGGCAATTTAAGTAATAACTGCCTGTATGGCAATACAGCAGCCTCCAGGTTTCTTGTATGTTCTTTTGCGTGATCCTAGGTAACTTTATGAACTGCAAATAGGCATTTCAAAAACACTAGCATTCTGTGGGCCCCAGCAAAATTTCATAGTTTTATTATAATGAGAAACCATGAAAAAGAATAATTTAAACACTGACTGCATGTCCCCAACTTATCAATAACAAAGCCTCAATGGTGCTCTCAGCCCAGAAGAAGCCTCCCTATCACCGCAGTGAGTATTTACATACTCACCCAAAAGTACTCACCCAAGCTGAGGTTTTCATCCAGCCTGACTGGAGCAGCAAACAAGATACCATGGGATTCACCTTCCTTCCAGCTAATTTTCACCATCTCATTTAATTAGCCTGCTAACATTCTACAGAAATTCTAAGCTTCTGCTAGGATATGGTGGTTGTCTTTTGGGTTTTTTTGAGATTTAATTTTAATTTTTCATGGAAAAAAATAATCTGCTATGATGTTCTGTTATAGAAAACACTAATGTCATTGAAGTGCCTCTAGGTATAAATACAAGACTGAATGGACTCTTCATGGTATCCAAATTCGGCTGAGAAAATCAGCAGAGCAGAATTCCTACTCCTCTACGGCCTCCTTGTGAGGGCTTTTCTTTTACATGCCTATTAGCAATAAAATACATATAAGGTGTAGCAAAATAATGAATCCATAATGCAATTTCCATGCTCTTTTCATTTTCAAAAATCCTTCACAAATATGGCTCAAGTAATTAATAAATTTTAGAAGTTTGAAAGTTTCTAGGCTTGAGCTCTACTTAAAGCTGAGATGTACATATCAATTTTAAAAAGCAATCTTGCTATCTTCAGCATTAATGACACTTGCTTGTGACATTCTCTTACAATCGTTAATTAGTTCCAACATAACCTCATCTTGCAATTGTCTGTTTCTATCCAAACACTGTAAATCCTCTGTCAGGGCAACTATAGGTTGCAGTCTTTACTGTTCTACCTGTTTTAATGAAACTTCATGAATGTAATCACAGTAACTGATACTTACTAATACTTGAAGAGCTGAACTCACCTAAAGTATATTGTTTGAAAGGTACCTCAATTTTAAGATATGTCCAAAAGATAAACAGCCTCTTTAAATACTTAAAAATGGTTTTTAAAAACTACAATGGTGTCCCCACAACAGAAACACGGCTTCCAAAAATCATTTACATATACAAACACTGCTTCTGTAAACCTATCTATTTCCTTCTTGCTACTTTCCAAACACTTATTCCCTATAATAAAATTAATAATCCATGAGTTTAAATCATTACAGAAAAAAGAAGTCAACACAGATTATATTTTCTGCAAATTGTAAAGCTGTAGAACAAAATTATTTTTAAAATAAAAGTGTACTAATATAGCTTTGCTTGGGTAAAACAATGGTATCAGGCCTCTTGGAATTTATTAAGTGCCATGAAAGCCATCTGTGAAGACTTCTATCTAAATCAATTCTAAAATCATCTGACAAAAAAAGCATTCATCATTTAAGTTCACTGAAAATGTTCCACTCACTTCACTTGAGTGATTCTCAGATTTTTATAATTCAAGACAAACCCCCCCCATGATTCTTAATCATCCTAATAGCAATTGCTGTATTTAGAAATTTGCTAGCAATTTATTAGAAAGTTAATATTCCAAGACAACTGCATACAGCAGAGTTTAGCACAAAAGGTTTCTAAATAAGAACCAAATCACAAGAGCTAATTCCAGCTATAATTCACTCCAGGGCCAGCAGTTATATGATTCTTCAACCTTTAAAGTTGGAAACGTTAACTAATCATTAGTTAGTGAATCTGTTTTGTTTTGTTTTTCTTTTCAGCAACATCAATAAAATTTATATATTGTCAACTTAACATACTAATACGCCCTCAAAAGAAACCTTTAATCCCTCTACCCTGATGTGGTTTTGAGCAGAAGTGAGGACCAGGTTTGAATGGCATATTATAGACCTCAGACTAGAACAAGTTTAGTACATGATCTCTCTTAAAAGCCCCTCTTTCTTGCAAGTCAGCAGAAGGAGAACTCTTTTTATCAACAGCTGGTAACATCTTAGTAGGGAAAATGCAGACAAAGCAATCAAAAGGTACATGACAAGCAAATCACTGTGTTTCTGGACTCTGCACATATCACACAATGCACAGTTACTATTTACTTAATTTGTTTAATAGTTTAATAAAGAGTACTGGTATGCAACAAACCTAGTGCAAAGGAACTTCCAGCCACCACAGATAAACCATTCTAAACCTCTTCTTCTCTGAGAAATTCTGGCTCTTGGTAGAGTATGGTAATCACTTTCATCATTTTCAAAGCCTTCTTCTGACATCATTAGTGGCATTTCATCCAAATGAGAGGACTCATCTTCCACTTGGTACCTGGCAAGATGAAATAAAAACACTAAATAAATAGCCAATACATCATTTTTTATTACTGGAAATCTCCTAAAGTAACAAATTAATTTTTGCCATATAGAATTTTATTAGAGAGATATTTTCATCTAAACATCTCATGTATTTGTGCTAACACATCAATAAGAAATTCTGATTTGAGTTAAAAATGTGTAATTCAGCAGAAAGGCCTTGCAATCAATCATTGTCATAGTATAAATAATTCTAAGGAAATTCTTGTTTCTCATATAATTTTTACACACAGAGCTGCCAATTCATATTTTCAATGGATTCTTTGTAAGACTGTTAAACAGCATTTACTTGGCAAAGTTCATAACAGATGCAAATGACTGAGTTTTCACGGAAATACAGACTTTAGATTCCCACTGAGCTTCTTCAACTTGCTTTCCTGATGTCTATTCCTGTGTACACAAGCTTCTAGTTGAGTCACACTTTCTACACAACTCATCAGTATCTTCAATTACTAAAACATTATAGTCACTTATTATAATTCTACACAAAAACATTCAGTGAATCAAAACAGATTTGTCTGTGGGACCTATGGAAACACCACTAAGCTAACAATGGTCCTTTCCTCTGCAGAACTATTCTCCACCGCAATTTCACATTTCTGGAATGCTTTTTAAGCCAAAACAAAACACTTCAATATTCTATAAGAAAATTCTCCAAGTCCATGTAAATTGAGTAACTTATTCAGTTAATATTTTTGTACCATTTGGAAGATTGAAATGAACTGTGCTATTACTCAGGTTTCTTTTCACAGACTATTAAAATTACTAGTAAGGACATTAATTAGAAGAAAATTTTAAAAATAATTAAACAGGACAGAACAGGAAGAACAAGGAGATGAGGTCCTTCACAGACAGGAGCATCCTCACGTTCGAAGGCCCTGGACTTCATGGGGGACCTTCCACCACCCTGATACGTGTTGAAAGGCCAACACAAAAGGACATGAGCAATCCTGGATGTTCCTGCAGTGCTTTGACAACAACTTTCTCCTCCTCCAAATAATCAGAGTAGGCGATGAAGAGAGGTGCTCTGCTGGACCACATACCAAGCATGGAGGGGCTCACTGGGGATGTGAGGGTCAAACACAGCTTTGGCTGCAGTGACCATATGATGGTGGAGTTCAGGATCCTGAGGGATCATCCTCCAGGGAGGATGGTAAAAAGCAAGCTCACAGCCCTGGACTTCAGGAGAACAGGTTTGGCCTTTTCAAGAACTGTTTAGAAGAGTCCTATGGAATAAGGCCTTGGAGGGAAGAGTGGCCCAAAAAACCTAGTTAGTATTCAAGGATCAGCTTCTCCAAGCTCAAGAGATTTCCATTCCAGTGAAGTGGAAGTTGGGCAAAAATGCCAGGAGGCCTGTGCAGAGGAACAAGAAGATCCTGTCCAAACTCAGACACAAAAAGGAAGCACACGGAGTGTAGAAGTAAGGACAGGTAACCTGGGAGGAATACAAAAACACTGTCCAAGCATCCAAGGACAAAGCCAGGAAAGCTATAGGCCAAATGAAACTGAATCTGGCCACGGATGTCAAAGACAAGAAGTATTTAAGTACACAGGTGACAAAAGGAAGACTAGTAAAAATATGTTCTTATTGCTGCATGAAACGTACCTGGTTACACAGGACATAGAAAAGGTTGAGGCACTGAATGTTGCCTTTGCCCCAGTTTTTACTAGCAAGACTGGCTTTCAGGAGCCCCACGTCTCAGAGAGCAGGGTGAAAGACTGGAGAAAAGAAGATGAGGATGAGGTCAGGGAACACTTAGGCAAACTGGCTGTATATATAAGTCTATGGGCCCTGAGGGGATGCACCCATGAGTGCTGAGGAAGCCACTGCAGGCCACTTTCAATAATCTTTGATCAATCATGGAAACTGGGAGAAGTGACTGAAGAGTGGAGGAAAGCAAATGTCACTCCTACCTTCAAGAAGGGCAAGAATGAGGACCCAGGGAACTACAACAACATGTCAGTCTCATGATCCCTCGGAAGGTCATGGAGCAGCTCATCCTGGAAACCATTTCCAGGCACATGAAAGACAAGAAAATCATCAGTAGTCACCATGGCTTCACCAAGGGGAAGTCATGCTTTACCAATTCGATAAACTTCTACAATGAAGTAACTGGCTTGGTAGATGAAGGGAGAACAGTGGATAGTGTCTACTTGGACCTCAGTAAGGTCTTTGATACCATGTCCCATAAAATCCTCATAGACAAGCTGCTGATGCGGGGGTTAGATGAGCAGAAAGTGAGATGGACAGAAAATTGGCTAAATGGCCAGGCCCAGAGGGTAGTCATCAGTGGCACAAAGTCCAGTTGGAGGCTAGCAACTAGCAGTGTACCCCAGGGGTCCATACTGGGTCCAGTCCTGTTTAACATACTCATTAGTAATCTAGAGGGTGGGGCAGAGCAAGTCTGCAGATGACACAAAACTGGAAGAGGAACCTTCAGAGGAATAATCCCCCACACCAGTATATGCTCAGAACCATGCAGCCAGAAAGCAGTTTGACAGAAAAGAACCTGGGGGTCCTGGTGGACACCAGATTGAACATAAACCAGTGATGTGTCCTTGCTACAAAAAGCTACTGGTATCCTGGGCTGTGTTAGGCAACATAGTGCCAGCAGGTCAAGGGTGGTGCTGCTCCTCCTCTGCTCAGCACTGGTGAGGCCACACACTGGACTCCTGTGTCCGGTTCTGGGCTCCTCAGTGTAAGAGGCATGGACAGACTGCAGAGTCCAATGAAGGGCCATGAAGATGATTAAGGGACTGGAAGATCTCTCTCTATGAGGAAAGGCTGAGAAGGGTATGACTCTTCAGCCTGGAGAGGACAAGGCGTAGGCAGGATCTTATTAACGTCTATAAATACCTGAATGGAGGTTGCAAAGACGACTGTGCCAGGCTCTCTTCAGTGGCTCCCAGTGACAGGACCTGAGTCAACGGGCACAGACTCAAACACAGGAGGTACCATCTGAACATCAGGAAACACTTTTTTTTACCATGAGGATGACTGAGCACTGGCAAGGGTTGTCCAGGGAGGTTGTGGCATCTCTATTCATGGAGATGTTTAAAAGTCATCTGGACATAATCCTTGGCAGCCAGCTCTAGGTGGCTCTGGCTTGACCAGGGGGGAGTTCTGCTGACACAGAACAGCACACTGAGCAGTATTCAGTCTAAAATCTTGATAGACAAACTCAGTATTTTAAAAAGAAAGTACCATTACAAGTAGGACTAACCATGAAAAAGCACCATCACTTGGGATTTGCATTTTCTTCAATTAGTGTCTATTGTCTATTTAATACAAACATCTGAAACCATTTCCTCTTCTGGATTTTCTGTGTTATGCCCTGTTGTTTACAGAAATATATTAAAGCAGTTATTAATCTTTTTGGATGCCAGGAAAGGGAGAGGGGGAGGCAGGGATTGTATAGTAGCATTAGATGAAAAGGTACATCACATACTTTATACTAGCTATGTAATAAATTTGTATCAACACAGTTAAGAAAGAAGATCTAATAAGAAAGGAGGAAAAAAAAAACCCTCAAACCCACTATTGGTTAACCAGTCATTACCTAGACACTTCTTTTGCTTGGCAGGTAATGCCCTGATTTCTGCACCAACTTTGAATCACTTGGTATGGGACATCATTAAGGGATGTTAATGTGTTCAAACCAGATTAGAAAATAATGCATAACTAGGAATAATAATAAACACACACATCCATCCCCCTGGCTGCAAGTCAACTGAGTACTTAAACCTTAATCATGTACACCTTGTGAAGAAAAATCTTCATCTGTTTCATATGACACAAAAGCACAATCACACTACAGAACACACTACAGAAGTTTCAAACTGAAAAACTGCATAAATTTGTTAAAAGTTAGAGTTTCTAGAAAGTTATAATAGTTTTGTGGACACATGACATGGAAAATGCCTTCAGAATTATTACCACCAGTACTCACTTAAAAAAAAAAAAAAAGAGTTTTAAACAAACATGAAAAACTCAGTCTTCACAATGTTGCTTGCAAAAATCTGTATCTGATGTTTAGTTTAACATGGCAATCTGGCAATGTTTTCCATTCTCATTACTGCCAATGGTCATTAAGAAAAAACACTATACAAAAAATTCTGTTCACAAAACAGAGCAGTTATTGCAGTTTAACATGTACATTATACTACATTATATGGATTACTCTCAGACTAGAATAATTTTAACACTAGACAATAAAACCACTGCTTACAAAAAACTTAAGACATCACTTTATGCTAAGACTTCCAGTAAGACAGACCTGTGTTTAAACAGATTCACATTCAATGCTTTTATAATCTCTCCTGGATAAATTTACAGATTACATTATTATAGTTTTAATATAGAGCTTCCCATTGCATTGTCTTGCTTTTCGACCTCCAAAAAATTAATAGTGTATCTGTAACACCATCTAGTGAAATCATAATCTGCTATCTGTACAGGAGTATACAGAAAGATATTGCAAAGTAACTGATCCTTTTTACTTCTGTATGAAGTTAACAAGTGTCTGATTTAGAAATAATATCCTCTGAGTCATATCCTTTATATACAAAGGTAACACAGCAAACATGGTTAAAAGTCTCTCTTGAAGGAACATGCCAATGCAAGGGAATTATGGGAGGGAGACTTGGCTGAGAAACAGACATGCATAGTATTTAAAGCTACTCTTGTAAGTGTGGTAATATTTGCAGACTATATTGATGTCTTAATCATAATTTCTTTTAAGGGTTTTTTGCCATATTATAAACAAATATTTTTTCACAATCCGTATCTAGGTTTGCACTTTTAAATATGAAGCTTCATCAAGTAGTTAAGATAATGAGCACAAGCACCATCACCTTTAGTAATCCTGACTTCAAAATACAGTCTCTGAACTGGCAAGCAATTTATTCTGTTTCAAAAGCAATTTTGCTATTGTGTTGGAAAATTGTACTTCAGTA